ATGGGAGTGTCAGAGGCAGTGCGATTGGCACAGGACAGAGCAGAGTTTAGGGCTGTTGTACATAGGGTCGCTATGAGTCGCAAGTGACTCCATGGCACATAACAACAACAACAACAACAAATCCTCTTATTTCTAGAACCTTAGGATTCGAACCTAAACCCAAGAACTCAAAATTCTCTGTACTACCATTACACCACATTCTATAGTAAGGTCAGCTAAATAAGCTACCGGGCCCATACTCCGAAAATGTTGGTTTCAACCCTTCCCGTACTAATCAACCCACTAACATATTTACTAATCTTAACAACACTAATATCAGGATCTATACTTACCATGTTTAGCTCCCACTAATTAACAGCATGATTAGGCCTAGAAATAAATCTATTTACCATCATTCCATTTCTCATCAATCCTCATAACCCCCGATCAACTGAAGGCACCACTAAATATTTCCGCATCTGTACTCCTAATAATATCCGCCCTAATCAATTTCATAAATTCAGGTCAATGATCCATTATAAATTTAACTAATCCCATTGCCTCACTTCTCATACTAACCGCCCTGCTAATAAAACTAGGAATAGCCCCCTTCCACTTCTGAGTTCCAGGAATACTTCAAAGCACCTCTCTCAATCAACAGGAATAATTCTCCTTACATGACAAAAATTAGCTCCAATTTCTATCCTTTATCAAATCGCACCATCAATTGATCACGATATCCTTCTAGGCTCTGCCATTCTATTTATTATAACTGGAGGTTGAGGAGGCCTCAACCAAACACTAATCCGAAAGATCATAGCCTATTCGTCAATTGCCCACCTAGGATGAATAACCACTATTATCATCTACAACCCAGAATTACCCGGAGGGTTTCTGAAGCTGTAAATCTTTCCCCTTGTTATTACGGTTTGAGTGAACATGTGCAGAGGTGGTTGGTATTCCAGGCAGTCAGTGCCATGTGTTTTGAGGTTATATCAAGAACAAACAAACTAGGGGAGCTCTGGTGGCCTAGTGGCAAGAAGCTACAACTACAATCCCAGAGGTGCGTGGTTCGAATCCACCAGATGCTCTGC